CCCACATCCACACTGAAGTGAACTAAACGCTCACCATAGCTCACATTTCCATCCTCAATCTTTCTTTTTTACTTTTGTTTTAAAATATATTTACATCTTTAATTAAGACAGGGCTGGGTTAATTTACACAAGGGGGTATTACAAAAATACAGTTTCAATTTGGAAGGGCTTACACGACTTACTGTACTCCATATGTTATCATTATCATCCTCCATTTGTACCCAAAGAAAATGAATACTATGCTACAAAAAATACCACATCATTGTTTCAGATTGGTTTTCAGCGCATGCTTGTACATATTCAACTTTAATGAGTTTATAAATGCATTTATAATCAAATATTTGATTGTGCTCCTTGTGGTATTTAAGATATATATTTTCTCTACACACATGGGATATGTAAATATGTAGAAAAAACAGTATGTGCCCAAATAATTCATAGTATGAATAATTTTGGTCTATTTTCAGCCAAAATGCTTCAAAAATGTTTAACGTTCAAAATGCAATGCAGGCAAAAAACCAGGCTGACCTGCTAACAATAATTAGCTTACTTGTCAACACTTAAGAATAATTTGGCCAAAAAGATATGTCTCAGTTGTTAATTTGGACTTGAATATATGTAATTCCTCTTAAAAACAAAAGGCTTACAGAGTTAATAATGGTGCTCTGTATAGTGTTGTCAGGTGTGTGTTGCCCTCTGCTGGACAACAATGCAATGCAATACACCTCTCTTTGTTTTTCTGTGTTGTGGCATTAATGGAACATTTCTGTCACAATGAAGACTCATCTATCAGTTTTAATTGCAACAACAGTGTGTTCTGTATTGAAAAAACTGGTTTGTATTATTAATTAGCCATTTATAAGTATTCTGTTAGCTGTTCTGAGGGAAGAATCTTAGTCAACCATCCCAAGGATTCAAACCATGTCTTCACTTTTTACCCATGTGGCTACCGTCAGCTTCCTCCACTTTCAGGGTCTGACAGACAGTTAGGAACATTGTTGAAATGTTGCATACGGTATGTATAAGTGGTGTCAAAGGTTTGAATCTGACTTAAGAAGGCTACTTCACCCCCTATCCTTCCCATCTTTCCTTTTATTTTCCACTATATACTTTCTTAAAAGGCATCATAGGCCATAAAAATAATTGTTGTAATGAATGTTTTAACTTTGGCTAAAATCTGGCCCTCGAGGCTCTCTATCCAGACTTTGTGGTTTACTGATGCTAAGCAGCTCTTGGCATGAGTGTAACTCTGCGATTAGTGCCCCTTTAAACACTTATAATTCACAGCCTATGAAAATATTATCAGAGAGGGCCAGCTCTCTGCCTGAGGGGGTCAGGAGGTTGTTTTAATGGTACCATGGGCTCAGTGTGTTGAACTGTTGGAGCTCTCGGCATTAGTATTGTCTTAAATCACTTTCAGTGGGTCGAGAATGTGAAGAAAACTACAACATATAATCATATGTGTATGGAGTAATGTAAACGTGAAAATTATAGGCCTAATACTGTGGCTATTAAAGACACGACATAACTGGAACATGTGGAAATTCTTTTAAAAGTTTGTATTATAATGACAAATGGTTTGTTTTTCCAATGTTGTGTGTGAGACTGGATTCTCATATGTTCACATTTGCACACACACCTCTACTCAGACCTAAATTTCCTGTTAAGTAGTGGTAGGATGTGTATATGACACATTTGTCCTTCAGCTGGTGGCTCATTTTAGCCAACAGTTTACATAAGGAAGCTTAAATGTCAATAAATACTTTGTTCTGCTACACAGGTGCTTTCCGTTTTCAAGACTCAATCTATGGTGTGTGGATGAAAGAAATAATGAAAAATAACTGAGAAGCGGTTCGACTTTATGATTCGACACCAAAGCAAAAAATGCAATAAAGCTTTTTTTACCTTATCATCACATACCAGATGAATAAACTACCCTTATTTGCGTTCTTCTTTTCTTATTTACTGGTAACATCCCGGAGTCGTAAAGTCGACTAACTGGACTTTGCATTTTGCAAGGTGGATTCAAAAGCGTATAATGTTTTTTCTGTTAGAAGTGTTTTTTTAGAATCCCTGACAAACATGTTAAATTACTTTTCACAGATTTATAATACTGTTATGAGCCAGACAAAACACACAAGACATGGTCCATATATGAAAAGTATCTATAGCCTAATGAACATCTGCCTTACTTCAAAATAGTCAAAATAGGGATTTTCAGTTTCACAAAAGAGATGTATCTTAAAACACTGATTACCTTTACACCTTGGTTTTGTGCATTCATTAGACACAACTTTACAATTTAATCACTTTAATATCTGTTTCCAGATAGTAAATATTAACATATTATGTTCAGCTTAAGGTGACTGGACACAAACTCTGTCCCCCTAATGACGCTCCATATACTGTAAAGGCAAGTTCGCCCCCTGCTGTACAACAATGACATTGCATGGATAGTGTAACTGGAAAATTGTGGTTATTCATACCTGCCAACCTTGAGACCTCAGAAATCGGGAGCATTTCAAAACCGCCGCGGGGGAGTGAGCAGAGGGTAGAGTTGTCGATTCTTGTTCTGTTTTCTGTGATATATCTCAGAATTTCAGTTGCGCGCTACTAAAGAGACGCGCTACCATGGAAACCAAACAATGGTGTAGCTGTATTAAAGTCCAAGTGGAAACAGTCCTGAGTAAATCTGATTTTGTCAGAAATCGGGAGAAATGCGGGAGAAATATGACCCCGGGAGGAAACCGGGAGAGGGCAATGAAATCGGGAGTCTCCCGCAAAAATCGGGAGGGTTGGCAAGTATGGGTTATGTTTACATACTTATTTGGTTATTAAAATGTAAACCGATCTTTTTCATATGGGTGTTTTAGAGTTGTACCCCCATCTAGTCTCTAGTAATTGTGTGCTCAAAGGGCACCAGATTGAAGCATTTTACTGTAAAATGTTAACCACCAAATCATAATCTCGCCTAGGGCACCAAAATGTCTAGGGCCGGCCCTGCGTCCAACTGACGGCCCACAGCTGATAAGAGGTAAGACTGGTCCAGTGCCATCCGCCATGCAAGGTCAGGGAGATAAAAGTCTTCAGAAAAAACGTCAGGGACATCTTTCTTGCTGAGAATATGTTGTCTAGGACTTAATGCGCCATCCAAGTTATACAATTGTAGATAAACTAAGTTCTGGTTTGGGGTAAATATCGAGAGAATTTGGCTCTGTTTCAGAAATGAAGATCTATTTAATCTTCACCGTTGAACATCACATTGATCTTCTGCAAGCTTCATGAATTTTAATTGCTATGCTTCCCCTATTGCTAAATTCCTCTACTGCATTTGTAAGAACTTCTGTCTTTGCCAATCTGAACACTTTCCACATTTGTTCTAGTGTTTCCACTGCAATGAATCTTACAAACACAAAAGATCTACTGAGAAAATGAACCATCGTAAAACCTTCTATGTGCTGCATGTTTATAATCCACAGTGTGCTGACAGTCAACAGAAACAATAATGTCAATGAGTGTTGTTAGGACAAGACACAGGACGACTGCCTCTAGAACAGCTATGCACAACATAGTCGGCAAAATTGTCCAGCCGATGGCGCCATAGATGTATTCCTGATCGTGAGTGGACCCTGTGATTGTGCAGAAATAAAATAATTATTTGGAATTACCAAAACATAAGTAGCCCACTGTGATGGTGATTGTTTTATTTCATAAACTAAAGAAAACGAAATAAAATAACATTGATTTAATTCAAAATAGGGCATGGGCAAACTGAAAGAAAACGACGAGCATGCCATGATTTTGACAATTTATTTTCATTTTCTAAATGTTTTGCAGAGAACTTAGATATATCTGCAGAAACTATCTACTGTTAGATTGATTTCTATGATTGATAGATAGATAGATACATAGATAGATAGATAGATAGATAGATGGTTTGATCCTACTTTACAAGGCAGCAATTCAAAGCCAATGCAACAGGGGATGTGCAATGTATGCAAATCATATTGGTCAACGACTTCCTGCTCACTGCGCTGCAGGGATCTCCCATGTTACAGCAATGCACGCATCCTCCCTCACATAGGCTCGTTCTGTCTGACACGTGCTGAGACATGAGGAGAGGAGGGAAAGCAAAGAAGAAAAATAGAATAGCATGAAAAAGAATAGGATATCATTCAAAATAAGTCTAATTCAGATATACTCTTAAATATTATTTGTATTGTTAGTTCTTTTCATATGTTTGTGTTTACTTCTGTAACATTAGGTAAACAAATTGGTGTCACAGAATGTAGAACGTGTCTCCATGGGATCGTGGTTGGTTTTATGATCGCTTATAACAGTGCTGCATCCATCCATATAGGCACACACACACACACACACACACACACACACACACACACACACACACACACACACACACACACACACACATGCTGCATCCTAGGTGACCCAGTCTGCAGTCCTTTACAGTTCACTGCACAGTGTAGGCCTAAACATGTGTCTGTATACAGAGGGTGATCAGCCACCAAATAGACTGCATTGTGTTATTTTGACTATTGTAATCTACAGCTGCTATAGTTTCATGTCTCTATTAGCTACATATAAAGGCTGTCCATGCATAATCTTTGATTCTTCTGTATTTCATCCCATGCATGTGACCAATCCATCGTGGAAAAGGGACAAAATGCTTCATCATTCCCCACTTCCACGCTGGCATCCTGCCAGTGTCTCTGTCTGTCCTATCTGGCTTGTCCTTCATCTCTCTGTCTGCTTGCCTGTTTTTCTCTCTGCTTAATATCACCTTTCATCATCACACCACACTTGTCATATATTAGTTTATGAGTAAGATGTGTGAAAAAGTATTTATTCCCTCTCTAGTTACTATGGCAGCCGTGACCAGCCCCTCGTTCAGAATGGAGCCTAGCAGCATAGGATGAGGTGACGTCACGTCGCCAGGACGACCAGGCTTCCCGAGGCACGTGTCTTGTATAAAAGCGGAAGGCGGCACCTAGTACTGCGCACCCAGACTCAAGAAGCATCAGCAGGAGGTAAGCCCAACACCGATTTACCGTAAACTGCACTGTGTAGAAGCCATTATACAGTAAAACAAATGTGACTTGATAGATGACGTTACCAGTATTTGACACTACTCAGCCTTCACTACGGGTTTATATGTTAGCTTATATGTCTGTGTACACATGTAGGCCAGTCGTACAGTAAGTAGGTTAACTATGCCGCTTTAAATATACATATGTACCCTTAAATTCGTCGAATATTGTCCCGAGACTGAAATTATTAAAAGCTGTAAACGATTTATGGAAGCCAGTAGCCACCCTGGAGCCATTACAGTGCATGTTTTAATCGGCCACGTAACCGTTTACAGTGGCGAGAGACAAACAGGCAAGAGGATGAGAGTGAGGTAACATTAGCTTTTGTCACATTTAATGTTGCATTGGTGAAACAGTCTAGCAGTAAGCACCTTTTATGATGGTCTGCAGGAAGAGAAAAGCGAGGATGGTAAATGGATGCGGACATGGCCTTTCAGTCAGGAGAGAGGCTGCTCGTTGTTCTCTCTACTTCAGTTTTTCATTGCATCATATAGCCAGCACCCACATCCTCTATCTATAAACTCTCAAGAGAATCAAAAGCAATCGTGCCTCATTGTGAAGAAAAGGTACATAATATGGAGCTGTTTCATAACGTTTAATTCATTCATCTGAAGCTGAGCTGTTTTACTGAGTGCGTGACGTGACATTGGCAGCTCCCATTGCTGCATCTTTGCGGAAGTGGATTAGTCTCCCTGTTATATAACCTCAATACAAAAATATATATTTCCGCGTTTATCACAGCAGAAACGTAACAATATTCCATTGAAAATAGCTATGCAGTGAGTTTGAATGTGTTAGATGTAAAAGCTGTAATTTGACTGCAGGTACATTTTTGTATTGGGCTGTAATGGACGAAATTAACGTACGTGCATGAAGGGTAAGCTACGTGCTTTCCCCAGACTTCATGATGAAACATGTCGTTCCGCCATTAGATTTCAGAGATGAGTTGTACTTGACGGGAATTACAGATCACAGTGATGCAAGAACGGAAACGGGAAAAAATGAAATAAGCTTGGCTTTATTTAATGTCGAAAGGTGAGAGAGGCGTGGTGCAACAGGCTGCAGTGATGGCTGTGAAGGGCAAAGGACTGTGGTGTCGCATTATTCTGTCGCAGTTTGACTCGACAGACCTGTTGACGCGGTTCGCAAAGAGGCCTGCACTTTTTAAAGCAGCAATACCACACCAAACTAATTGCAATCTGTTAAGCCAATCAGCCTTACACTATAAACCCTTAACTCTTTATTGCCTTATTTAGTATTCAGCATTATTTATAATAGTAAAAATAGTGTAATGTATTATTACTGTTGCAATGCCTATTTGCTAGCAGTTACTTTCATACATCCCATGAAGGTGTGGTACATGCAGATGCAGCCATGTGTGGCCTTGTCTCCCTGTTGAAGGTCATCACTGCAGCTGAGAAGGTCACAGTCAAACTGCGACAGTGCTGCAGCAGTGATGCTGACCAGCTGCTAAGCTGTATTCTTTAACTATATATCTACTTGAAATTGTGTTTTCCCCCACTGTACTCGTGGATGGGGAGTAAGGCCTCTTATCTCAGGCTCTGGATGACTGAAGGTCACTCATAACAGGCCCAGAGCTGCCAGGGGAGATGCTAGTATAGTCAAAAGCTGTAGAAGTTGCCAAACTGAAGGATCTATTATCATAGTTTCGGGGAAATTGAACAGCAATTTGCCATGCATCAGAATCATTTTAATTTACATAATTTATCATTATAACCCCCTGTGTATTTAATTAATCAAAAAATAATTTGTATTGCACATGTATAACAATGAGATTATCATGCATGTTCAAGTATATCAGTGATTACATTCATGTTATTAAAGAGATATGGACAACCCACATACACACATCGTAATATATGCAAGTATGAGGGTCATGGGGTGTACTACATTGGTGATAGTTATGGTTGTGACTCTCAGGTTCTTGGCGTTACAAGTAGATAGGTTTTTTTGCTCTTCTTCTATTAGATTAAAGTCTGCACGTGCTACTTATGTTGGACATAAGCTCCTACTCTTCCTTCTGTACACACACTTAAGTAAATGATTGTATAGATGGGGAAGAATCCCTCATACTCAAACTCCTGAGAATATTTCATACAGTCATTAGTTCCTCTTGTGTTGATTATGACTTGTTTTTCACTAGATTAACACACGTTTTCCACATAATGTGATGTGGTTGTTTCAAGGCCAAGGTTAACATGAGTGTTCCTCTCCATTCTGCTCAATGATCAACCAGCCATCTTGTCCAGGATGTGTGTCAGAGAGAAGGATCTCAAGAGTGACACAGCGCTCTGCACCTAACTGTCACACATTTAGGGAAATAAGCCCTACAGTAGGTAAGGATAGACGTCTGGGACAAAAGCAGCCCTTACTTGTAAAACAAAGCAGTTTTGCATAGCTTTTTTTATACAGATATTGATGGGGCCAGTTGTTTGTACAGCAAGAAGATAGCAAACACAGCATAACACTGTAGAACTGTAGCTTGAGAAAAAGAGGCCAGTCACAGGGTCTGAGCACGAAGGGAATCTGTCATCTGCCTGCTGACAAAAGCTCTTAGTGTGTGTGTGTGTGTGTGTGTGTGTGTGTGTGTGTGTGTGTGTGTGTGTGTGTGTGTGTGTGTGTGTGTGTGGTGATGGCATTGGACATTTAACTGACTGGTTATTAGCAGAAAGTGACATTGCCTCAGAGGTGACACTGTAAAAAGGGCAGCAGCAAAAGAAGAAGAGGAAGCAGGAAAAGTTTTGAACACAGAAAGTTTGAATCGATTCTATCAGAGTGTTTGTATCTAAGAGGCGTAAAGCATGATTTTTGATTCTGTAATGTATATCTTTTTTAAATTGCGACCAGAAAGGCGGGCAAGAAGAGAAAAGCTAATAGGCTAAAGGCCAGGCAGACTATCCAATCAGCACTGCAGTGGAAAAATACTGGAGGACGAGGGTGTGACAGAAGGAGGAAGGTTTTCAAACGCAAAAGACACTGAAAGCCAGGAGAGCGGGGGAAGGCAGGGGGAGTGGCAGAGTGGGAAAAGGAAAAGCAAGGGCAGGAGCTCTATCTTTACTCTTAAACTCTTTAAAATGACCCACTCTATACCAAATAAGTAGCCGTGTAAATGGTTTATTTATTTAATCCTCTCAAAACTCAGGTACATATTAGGTTAGACTGGAGTCCACACACTATCCAAAGGCTCTTCAAATACTGTTGACATAAAAGAGAAAAGAGGTATTCTTCCCCATCCCTTGTTCGTTCACATGTTTAATATATTTAGTCGTCCACCTGATGCAGAATTATTTTCTGCCCAACTAGTCATGAGTCATCCTTCCCCCAGTGCTCTTTGCGGTGCCCCAGTTTGCCCCCCCCCCCCGTGGTTAAACTCTGTTTGTGTGAGTGGGTCGCAGCTCGGACAGGGGGGACGAGGGTTGTGGTGCTAAATGAGGGGGATCAGACAGACAAAGAGAGGCGCGGACAGGAGGAGGTAGGGAGTTGAATTGTAATGATTAGTTTGAGTGGTGTGGGAAAGGGGGGGAAGGTTTGATATTCTGAGTGTCAGCTGATTTCAAGCTGCAGCTAACAGCATGTCACTTCATTGCTTTGCATGCACAACACTGCCTCTATGAGCTGAGACATGTCTGTGTGAGTGTGTGCTGAATGCCAGATCAGACTGATTGCTCTGCAGACAAAAGAGACAAGCCTCCAGTACTGAAGAAAGTTTGCTGCAATTGAAAAAATGAATGTTACTCTACATTGAGAAATTGGATGATTTAACAGTACTGAACCAGGGATTGAACAACATATACACAGTTTAATGTTACTATCAATGCCTAAGTACATTTAGCACAGTTTATACCTAAACTAAATGCAACTTGGCACTACATTTGGAAGCTGAACAGTAGGGCTACAGTTTAATTCCTTATATGCATTCATTAAATCTGCGTTGGCAATGTTTTTTTGGCTTCTCGTATAAATGGGTAAAAGCCAGACACTGTTGCTGGGCATCAGGGGTTGCACACAGAGTTATTCAACTCACATTTTCATAGTTTGGCCTTAAACAATTGTACTATTATTCTCTGTACACTGCAAACTAGGGAAGTTTAATTATCCATCAACAGATCTCTCTAATGTGGCCATATTAGTCTTTGTCCAGGCGCTCCCCATGCTTTAGTGAATCAGAATAGCCTTCTCTTTTAAGTAGTATCATTTGTCAGTAGAGCAACCATTTTATATTGGAAAACCCAGGGAACCCGGCTCTGTGTAAAGAAAACGGAGAGAACAGAGAGAGGAAGAAAGCCACAGAGTGAGACAAATGGTGAGAAGTGCACAGGGCGAGGAGAGTTCTGAACACACAATAGGACATGGTGGGAAAGACATAGAAATGTGAGAACAGCATGGTAATACTGTATGCACCCTCTTTCTTTTCTCTCTACCTCTCTCTCCTTTGGCGACCTTGTATAATAGATGCTACCAGCAGAGTTCAAAATGGCTGCTCAGCTCTAAACAAAAGGCACATGAGACGAAACAAAAAACAAGCACATACACTTACAAATCACCCTGTTGGAAATCTGACAGTGGAAACGGTGGCAGACAGTTCAATAAATTGATTTTAACTGGCATCAGATTGGCTTAAAATCCCAATTAAGAACAAGTGAATACATTAAAGTAAAATTGCTCCAAGCTTTATGGAGAATTGTTCACATTTGAGAGCGCGTGTGAAAATGAGAGAGAGATTTATCCTAATCTGCTTGCCCATTTTAGTCTATTTAAAGTGCTCCCACAATGCATTTCACCAGATCGACATCCTGTCCTACAGGCTCCCAACTGGGACGCACACGACTCACACTCAGTGAGACGCATACACACAACAGATTAGGAGATTACTATAGTCTAAAACGACAACCAACCAAAATCAAGGACAATCAGCGTTAACCTCGGTCACTCGACCACTATCTGTTTATCTGTTCACCTGTATGAGTAAGTGTTTGGGTACATGTTACAAACAGTTTTATTGACCTTTAATACATCTTAAATGAATTTGTATATTCATTCTAAATTGTGTAATTGTCTTATAACATATAACAATAAATAGTAAACATAGCTCAATTTGAATTGTAAATGACCATATTAGATAATATTAGTTATCTATGCCAAAAGCTGCAAGTCCCAAGACATGATTTGCGAAGCTAAATAAGATATCAGAGTGTATATCCCTTCGAGCACAAACAGATTCAAGGACAGCAAAGGAGAAGAAGGGGTGGAGTCAGAAGATGAAGGAGGAAAAGGAATTAAAGGAGAAGGGATGCAAGTGGTAGAAAAGTAGAAGGCGAGGACAAGAAGCGTTGAGAGGAGAACCGGCAAATGAGTGCACAGCATGAGAAGGAGAGGAATGCTGAGGGTAAAGGAGGTCACATAGTTGAGTCAAACCCAGGCTTCCTCTGTTCAGTCGGCAAGTCTTTGTTTGTCAAGTTGCGTGCAGTACCTACAATTTCTCTCTCCTTTCATTGTTGTCTAAACATGTCCCTGCATGATGTAAGACGCCCCCACTTTTGTGTGTTGAACATAAAACAGCCTGCACCGTCACTGGTAACAAACAGTCAAACCCAAGCTGGTATTCTAACTTTGACAGTAGTAACCAGCTCATCTTGACATTATAACTTCAGAAACTAACCCTCATGTATACAATACAGCTTTATTTATATAGCACTTTAAACCTCCTCTAGGTGTTTTCTTCCTCGCTGTAGTGCTAATGCGCCACACTTCTACTGTACTGTGAAACTACTGCTCCCTGCCTGTCTTCATGTTATTGTAGGAGCTGACACCATGCAACACATTTAAAATATAGAAAGTAGCCTAGATGTTAACATTTGTTGCACAGAGAATTTTGAAATGCTTTAAGCTACATACACAGGCCTGCAGTAGATCAGTCCGCAGGGTTTAATGCAGAGAATTAATTTCACTGCTGTGAACATGTTGGATTGGAATCCTCCATTCCCCCAAATACAGACTTTTAGTCATTTCTGGAGCCTGTTCAGTACGGAGCGCATATTGGACATGGTGACAGCTGCAGTGATTCCTGGCACTGTTCATTCATTAGACTGGATGTGTTGCATGTTTTCTCCATCAATCGGTAGCTGTAGTTCTAATGTCCTTGGTCCCTCTGTTTCTTTCTTGTATCTCTCAGGTATCTCAATCCCCCTAAACAGCAGCAGCCATGTCAGACCTCTGTGTTGGAATCAATGGGTGAGTTTAAAACACACACAAACAGGACTGATTTTGTGATTGTTAGGTTAGGATGTCAAGTAAAGCAGACTTTTGTAATAATCAATCAATAATGTCGTAATAATGGCACAGGAAAAGATTAACTTACTCTGATTAGATGTCACAAAAAAGGCTTGAAGTCAGGTTTTATTGTCAATTTCATCATAGCTTAACATCAGTGGAGCTGTAGGAATACAATAGTGGAAACTCATGATTTCATGTGTTTTTATGGAAGGTCTGTGACATTCTGAAAAAGTATACCACCATTTTTGCAAAACAACTATTATTGATCCCCCTCCCTCCTCTCTCTCCCTGCAGATTTGGCCGTATTGGCCGCCTGGTCCTGAGGGCTTGCCTCCAGAAGGGCATCAAGGTCGTGGCCATCAACGACCCCTTCATTGACCTGCAGTACATGGTGAGAAAGCGTAGATCTACATATTTGCATACAGAAAATGAACAGCAATGTATTTAAATATCACAGGAGTATCTTAGAACTAAAACATATATATTACTCACTTTTATTAAATTATAACATTGGGTCGAAACACAAGCTTTAATGCTTTAAATGTTTATTTCTGAATGGGTTTGGTTAGCAAAATAACAAACCGAAAACTGACTCATAGATTATGTTTTTAATTATACCTGAGCTAAACTTGTGTTATCTTCCCGCCTCCAAGGTCTACATGTTCAAGTATGACTCCACCCACGGCCGTTACAATGGTGAGGTCTCCAAAGAGGAGGACAAGCTCATCGTCGATGGCCAGGCCATCTCCGTCTTCCAGTGGTAAGTGTGGATGATGTTTAGTGGTTAGTGGCAAGCAGATTTATTTTAAATGATTTAGTGCCAGTTTCACCTCCTGTTATTCAGTATCCTAAATAGAGGCTTTGTGCTGACTCGGCGATCACTCATTGGAGCTGGCCCTCCACCCGTGGTGCCGGCTGTTGTTTTAGTCCGTTCAGCAATGGTGCTTCCTCATCTTCAAAATGCTACGCCATCAGAAAGAATAGTTAGAGAGTCCTGATCCTCTGAGCACTGAGCGTCAATTATTATTCAGTTCTTATCAAATAACATGCTAAATATGGCAGGATCTGAACCTTAACTGCCTAGGTGTTGAAAAAAACTAAAACGTTTCATCACTGGCATAACATGATCCAAAGAGGCTCTGCTGTACTCTATTTTAAAATGCCCTGTGTGTGCTGTTTTAATAAGAGGACCCCTCACTTCACTCTCGCTATTTGTAGTGTTTTGGGGCTACTTCCTTTTGTTAACCTTTTTATTTTATTAGTATTGACTCGGAAAAAGAGTGCATACAAGTGTATAAAAGTTTTTCTTCATACTCCCCCTTCTTAATTTTCCTGATCATCATTTTATTTTTCCCTTGACTACAGCATGAAGCCACAAGAAATCCCCTGGGGCAAAGCTGGAGCCAAGTACGTTGTGGAGTCCACCGGAGTCTTCCTCAGTGTGGACAAAGCCTCAGTATGTACCCACATGCACACACACATAGAAACAGATAACACAGACTGCCTAATGTCTCGGTTTCTAACCTGTGCCCTCTTCCTTCTCCGATCGCAGTCTCACATCCAGGGTGGAGCACAGCGCGTGGTCGTATCCGCCCCCTCACCCGACGCTCCAATGTTCGTCATGGGAGTCAACGAGGACAAATACGACCCCTCCACCATGACCATCGTCAGGTGTGTTTGGATATGGACCTTTCATTTTTCACAAACATGCTCATAGATTTGGGAGGAGCAATTCCATTACATTTGAGTCCAATACTAAGTGACCTGTCTTTCTGTTGATAGCAATGCCTCCTGCACCACCAACTGCTTGGCCCCCCTGGCCAAAGTCATCCAAGATAACTTTGGCATTGAGGAGGCTCTCATGGTAAGTCGCAGTGTGTCTAAATGTTATACTGTAAGGACTTTAACATAGAAAACCCTGTATTTTAACTCATGAATGTGTGTCAGAGCACTGATGTTCTGTTTGATGTGACACTCCTCTCTTTAGACTACAGTGCACGCATACACAGCCACCCAGAAGACCGTGGACGGACCCAGCGCCAAGGCCTGGCGTGATGGCCGCGGTGCCCACCAGAACATCATTCCAGCCTCCACTGGTGCTGCCAAGGCTGTCGGCAAAGTCATCCCCGAACTCAACGGGTAAGGACACACACATCTTGATATTATTACTTGGCTTAGATGAAAACTTAATTCTGATCGGTCAGTTTGTACATTCAGTGGCCTGCTCATCATCAATAGCAAACTGCTAGGAAGGACACTCAGATCAAGGGACCTTTGGCAAAAAATAAATAAAGCACTTGTTTTTTGTTACTCCATCAGAAAAAATACTTTTTTATATAAGCAAATAGCACGCAATGCAATAAAAAGCAGGAAAGAGGTTGAAGACTTGTGAAGTAAACACTAAAGGAAACAGCCGAGGAAGACAAACAGGAAGTAAACCTTAAAGCAGTGGTTCTCAAACTTTTTCTGTCATTCCCCACTTTGAACAGGTGGGCCTTTTCAAGCCCCACCTGTTCCTCATCGCTCCAATCAAATGGTAGGCCAAGCTTAAAATTGTCAAATGTATCGTTCTACAGCAGGGGTCTCCAACCTTTTTTAGGATGAGAGCTACTTTCAAAAAATAAAACAAGTCGGGGGCTACTTTTATTTTTGTATATATTTAGCACATTTTAACATTATTATATGCTTACCTTTAACCTTTGTGTGCTGTTTGGATCTGTAAGACCCGTTTTCAGTGTTTACTAAAATAAAATGTATGCAATTTAATTATTTTAAACTGCTTTATTTGGGGGTGGACCTCACATTCTCTAGGGGGGTCCGGGGGCATGCAGCCCCGGGAANACTTTTCAAAATCCCGTTTGTGTCACCCCACTTTACAAATAGGCCTATGTTTATTATAATTTTTTAACGCAAGCCGTCATCGCCACGGAGGATAACACAGCCTCTGTGAGTGAGCGAGACAGAGAGAGCGAGAGAGCTAGAGAAAGCACACATTTATCTAGTTAATATAGCCTAGGTGTAAAAAATAAAGTAAGAAATCATTCCAATGTGTGCTATAGGAGAGTAAAAAAAAAAAAAAAAGTTTAAAAGGGGAGTGATTAGTAAAATATCCATAAATAAAAAGAAAGAATGCTAACTAGGTAACATAAGATAAGAATAAACAAGTTTAAATGATTTGTTATTGGTTTTGATCATATTCTAAAGATGTTTGGATTATTGAAAAGTATACAGCTCCCTTTCAGTGTGTTGAGAGCTGTATCCATAAATTCATTTTTTGCTCAAAGTGCACCAGATTGAGGCATTTCCCTTCAACATTAAAAAAATAAATCTTCCCGGTGGAGCATGCCCCCGGACCCCCCTAGAGGAGGTGAGGTCCACCCCCAAATAAAGCAGGTTAAAATAATTAAATTGCATACATTTTCTTTTAATAAACACTGAAAACGGGTACCACAGACCCAAACAGCACACAAAGGTTAAAGGTCAGCATATAATAATGTTCAAATGTGCTAAACATATACACTGCAAAAAACTAAAAAGAGCAGCAAAAGTAGCACGACTTGTTTTATTTTTTGAAAGTAGCTCTCATCCTAAAAAAGGTTGGAGACCCCTGTTATAGAACGATACATTTGACAATTTTAAGCTTGGCCTACCATTTGATTGGAGTGATGAGGAACAGGTGGGGCTTGAAAAGGCCCACATGTTCAAAGTGGGGAATGACAGAAAAGGTTTGAGAACCACTGCTCTAAGCTGTCTCAACAGGAAGGAGAGGGAGAGCTCTCTCCTGGGGGACTGAGAGAGATCAGCTCACTGAGCTAAAGGACTCTCTGAGGGATTAGAAACTTTAGTCAAAGTTATCTCAGTGGCTCTCAAACGCTTTGCTCATCTGTGTAAACTAATACCTCCATCTATTTAATATAGGCCGAGTTGTAACAAACAAGTTAATAAATCATTCCACTGTGTGCTAGAGGTCAGTAAAGAAATAAAGACACAGTTTGAAAGGGGAGTGGTTAGTAACATATGCATCAATACAAAGAAAGAATGCTAACTATAGGTAACATAAGATAAGAATAAGTTTAAATGATTTGTTATTGGTTGTGATCTAAAGATGTTTGGATTATTGAAAAGTATACAGCTGCCTTTCATTGAGTGTCGAGAGCTGTGTCCATAAATTCATTTTGTGCTCAAAGTGCACCAGATTGATGCATTTAACTTCAACATTTTCAAAAAAACTCTTCCCGGGGCTGCATGCCCCCGGACCCCCCTAGAGAATGTGAGGTCCACCCCCAAATAAAGNAAGTTTTTTTTTTTTTTTTTGGACCTCAGGCCGGAATTGAACCTGGGTCCTCGCGGGCTTTAGTGGACTGTTACAGCTGGAGACTCGCAACGGCGGTCCACCGCCGTTGCGAGTCTCCAGCTGTAACAGTCCACTAAAGCCCGCGAGGACCCAGGTTCAATTCCGGCCTGAGGTCCAAAAAAAAAAAAAAAAACTTGCGTCCATTCGCGACCCACCTATCACATCTCTGGGGCGCGCCCCACACTTTGAGAAACGCTGCCCTAAAGGGAACATGGTATGGGGAATGGCATTGTTTAAAGACTGTTGAATTTAAAGGAAACTTTGAACAGTCTTGGACAGTTATGTTGCGGAAACCTCAATCAGTTACATAAAGTAACATTGCTATAGCTGCCGTTCAGTCTTTGGTGCGCAATTGAACAGATACTTTTTTTAAGTCAGGGTCCTGCTTACATTGTCGGGATACTTTCGCAATAATGACCGGGCCGCTGCATATTATCCCTTCCACTACATGCAGTAAGAAGAACATGTCTGATATCTCTTTTATGTCCGTCCTCTCCCCAGAAAGCTGACCGGCATGGCGTTCAGGGTGCCCGTGGCTGATGTATCCGTGGTGGACCTGACATGCCGTCTGATCAAGCCTGCGTCTTACGCCGATATCAAGGCAGCCTGCAAGAAGGCCGCGGAGGGACCCATGAAAGGAATTCTGGGTTACACCGAGGACCAGGTAACACCCAGAGTTACTTCACACACACTGTGAAGCTAATACATGGCTCCCAGAACTACAATTGTGAATTACCGGTAGTAACGATTCGACAAAGAACTTCAGTTCAGTCCACGTTATGTGCATTTGTCCATTTTATTTGGATGCATGGATAAAGATGAACAATTTACATGATAATTATTATTATTCATTTTGCATTAAAGGTGGAAATGGATGTTTCCTCTGTGAGTTCTGATTCACTTTGTAATTTGCAGGTGGTTTCCTCTGACTTCATTGGCGACACCCACTCCTCCATCTTTGATGCTGGTGCCGGTATCTCCCTGAACGACAACTTTGTCAAGCTCATTTCCTGGTATGTTTTCAATTGTCTTGATCAATAGTCTACACAGTTCTATCATTTACAAACCAAACAATGTATTCCTCTTTCTTCTGTCCGCTCCCTCTCTCCCCAGGTATGACAATGAGTTCGGCTACAGCCACCGTGTCGCTGACCTGATGCTGTACATGCACTCCAAGGAGTAAAACTTCCTGGCCAAGAAGGAAGTCAGAAAAGGGACCACCCCCACCATCCTACCACACTTTCCCTTCTCTTTTACACACCCCACCCATAGCAAATTCATAGCATCACGGCCCCTAACTCTACTACATTAAACGTAGGCAGCAGCTACTGTGTGTTTGAGTGTTCTGAGTTTATCTGTTTTCCTTTAACTACAATCGGTCGGTGACAGTATTTGTGTCTGTGTGCCCCCTCTGCATCTCCCACTGCATCTTTAGATGTGTCCTTATGGCTCACTACTATGGTAACTACTGTATTCATCTCCCTGTTGGTGTGTTTTAAAGACTTCATCACCAGTGGAAGGAGGAAGCTGAGGGGAAGAGCTACTGTAACTCGGCTTAAGAGTAATGAGACAGAAATAAAACTTCAAAAACCTCAAGCTGTCACGTTGTCCTGTTTTTATTGGTATTATCTGTTCACTGTGTCTCATGGAGCCATAACACTGTCATAATGTTGTAAAAGGTCAGACACGTAAAAATATATATATAATTGAATACATAAAAAAATTATATTCACAAGAACTTTAAAACGTTGTGCTTCTTACCTCTAATGAGTATAACATAATTGTTTTTATTATTGCTAATAAGTAAATCAAATTCAAACTTAATTACTTACTTTTTTATTGTTTTTATCCTTAATTTTCTAATTGTGTTGGCATAATTTTAATTTGCCATGTTTTATTTCCACCATGCTACATTTTCCAATTGTTTTTACTACTTATTTAGTTGTAGCAGGAACCTTCAGAGTCACCTGCTGCCTCTCTAAGTGTACTGCAGCGGGACTCAGCATGAAGGCTGCATCCTTATATAGAAGAAATGCTGCCCTGCTGTTTTTTCCTGATGCTTCGGCCAAGTTACTCGCTATTAAAGAAATTACATGAAAAGCTTAGAACATTTGTATAATGATTTTTGCTGCAGTGCCCCCTGCTGTTTGATTGGGTGCACTAAAATAGGGACAACCCATTCAACACGGCTGTGGAACTATGGGCATAACAATGACCTGGTAACATACTTTGTTATAAGATCATGTTCTAGGGGGAGGAGACAAATGGAGAGAGGTCAGCACAAAGATGAGGTCAACAGCATCTCCTGACTAAAAAGAAATCCGATCATTTGCCTGCTGCCTGATTTCCCCATGCATGCTTGGAGAGACTGGACCGTTTTGAATGTAGAACATTTGAATGTGCTCCCAGATGAAAACAGAGCTTTCCCCTGCTCCACACATGACTGGAGTTGGGTCCACTTTGTTTTTTGTCTCTTTGTTTTTTGAATCCTTTTTTTCTTGTCATTTGTTTATTTTAAGGCAACATGAAAAGCAGATAGAAGCCAAACAAACTATGGTACTCTGGTTTATTTATCACCACTCCAAAATGCCAGTGCCATACTGTAAATGTGACATGCTATTTCGTATTGGATCTAATTATTATAATAATTTTAATATTAATATTATTATCTTATTGTTGTCCCTATTTGCACAGATATTTTGTTTAGGGGAAAATAGAGTTGTCTCTTTGGGATAAAGAAGAAAAAACAATAAGTTGTCTCATGAGGAAATCATGAAGGAAGAATAGGACATAGAAAATGTGTTTTTTTCCATTTCCCCAAACCATTGTTAATCATATCTTTATCGTTCACATTATGTACCTTATGAACACAGAACAAACTAAGACGGACACTAACACACTCAGTTTTACTCTCAGATGGGTCCTCTTGGCCAATTTATCAATATATTAAGTTTACATTTGACACTAAGTAGTCTCAACAAATGAGAAGTTAAAGTTATTTCTCCTATGATTGTAATAAAATGAAGACCCCCTTTTATGGCCTATATTTATTTCTGCAATAACCATTTAATGACCTCTCTAAATAACAGTTTCAATTGTTTGTATTGATGAGTTTCCCTCTTCTCAAGGAGCCTTTGGCTTATAATCAAAACGCACTTGCTGTTCACACGGAAATCATGGATATCTCCGAATTAACCGAGATGGAATTTGTACACAAAATACAAACTTCAGGTGATAGAGCTTATCCAGGTCACGGAGAAATTGAGGCATGATCTGTGTAGTCATATTATCATAGGCAAAGCTGACAATGTGACATCAAATAAGCATTTTGAAATCCTATATGTCTGTTGATTTTCCATTAGTTTTTCCATAGAGCTTATACTGGTCAGCTGGGTGTGGCAGGGTGTGTCTCAGTGGGACTATGCAGGTATTTAGTTGGTATAAAAGCAGAGGGACAGCTGGCCCTGCTCTCAAACGGACACATCTTTGTAGAAAGGAGCAGTCATGGTGAACAGCCGCTCTGAGCTCACCCTCTCCCTCCTGCTCTTCAGTGCTCTTTGCTTGGAGGCGTTCATCATAGAATTGGAAGTCTACTCTCCAGCTCAGAGGATGAACTGGTCAGAGGCCAGACTGTACTGCCAGAGGAACCACGTTGACTTAGCTGCTGGGAACATAGTGGATATTTTGGGCATGAATGGGTTTTTGTTGAACGTCAGTCCAGTCTGGATGGGTCTACGCAGAAGCCCTCTGAACGACTCAGCGTGGAGGTGGATTGATCCAAAGTGAGTATTCTGATGCAAATATCGTGTAATATTGATGAGATAAATTCTAGTTGCTGAGCGAGACATTATTCATGTCTTTTCAGAGGTGGAGAGGGGGTCTCAGGAGGAGTCTTCTCACAGAGCGTCCTCTGGGCCGGTGTAGAGCAGAGCGACCACTGTGCACTTGTGGATGCAGATTTAAAGTGGCACAGTGTGAGATGTTCAAGTACACATCCATTCTTCTGTACAGAAGGGAATGAGATTAAACATCATGACAACAAAAAAGACTGGTACGCGGCTTCTGATTCCTGCAGTGATAAAAGTGACAGTTACCTGGCCACCATCACCATGGATAACACCGGCAAATTGAAGTCTGCTGGCTGGATCGGGCTGCACCGAAAAGCTGGTGAGACCTGGAGCTGGATCAGGGATCAGCAGTCTGACTTCAGAAACTGGGCCCAAGGAGAACCCCGCTACGCCGACTGTGGCTCTTTTGATCCTGTAAATCAAAAGTTTCACAGCAAAGCATGCTCCACAGAGCTTCCTTTTCTCTGCTATGATGACAACCTTGTGGTGGTGAACGAGAACAAGACATGGGAGGACGCTCTGAAGCACTGCAGGAAAATGGAGAGCCCATGTGAGGACGAACCAAGCCCCTGCATCTACAAACACGATCTCCTGAGCCTGGAAGTCCCGGCTGAATACAACTACGTCAGAGATAGGATCTACAAAGCCACCACTGATGAGGTTTGGGAGTAGGTGGTGGGCTTTCAATGCTGGCTTGTGACCCTTTAGAGTGAAGCAATGTCCACCATGTATACCCGGTTGAAGTGCTCGCAATATACAACCTGTCATAAAAGAGGGATGATTTCCCCCTATGTAATAGTTTATTTAAAAAATGTTAAGACCTCTAGAAATAAAAATATCAAATATTTCTAGAAACAACATGTATTTGTATTAACTCACAGCCCCCCAGATGTTCTTGCAGTTCCTTAATTGTCTGAATTATGAGAGTCATCATGAATAGGATATTAAGAACTTTTTTTTATTTCAAAGTTTTCAATGTTAATGTTTAATAATTGAAGGACAGAATAAGGAGTTGATTCATTAATTGGCTTATTTATTTTTCTACCTTTTGAGATATCATTTAAATGCAAATGTATCCACTGATGGCTCTTTTATAAGCACAGGTGTATTGTTACTAAGTAATATAAAAGAAATGCAGGGGTGCCTTAGTCCTGTTTTTTCATGGTTACTTTTTGCTAAAAAATAAACTAACCTTTAGCTTGTTTTTTAAAACTGTATCTTCAGCTTTCAAGGTCAGTTCATTGAGTTACGAGAATATCATTTTTGGGGGTTTTCAATTAACATTGGCAACCTTATTGTTTCTAAGCTTAATAAAACTACAGCTTCATCGCCAGGCAAGTGTAATGTGAATGAAAGAGTGAGCAGTTACAGATAAAACCGTTTTAAAAGGGGGAGTCACTCTCAAGGCCTGTCTTATGTTTCTCAGGTTTGGACGAGCCTGCGCTTCCTGGGAGGGGAGTGGCGATGGTCCAACGGACAGCAGCTGGAGGACCAGACCATGCTGCCGGACTGCCCGTCCCAGTGGAAACACTGTGGAACCCTGTCCAAACATGACACCAACCACTGGATCACCAGGAACTGCTTGGAGAGAAGAAACTTCATCTGCTACAGATATAAAACTATCATTAATCAGACAGACTATCTTGGGGTTTGAGAGCTTTTCAGTGCTTCATTTCTGCCTGTTTTGTTTGTTAACACACTGAGCTCTATCTATATATTAAAGGGTTTGATCAGATCATTAGAATTAGACTAACCTGGTTTATTTTTGCCAGAGAGTTAGAAAGAATATTGGCATACAGTGGGAATGAAAAATGTAAAACAATGGACATATGAATACTCCTTGTTTAGACTTTCATCATTACCATGAAATCAGACCTTGATTCAGCTGAATCCCATTAGCTGCGGTAGGTCCATAAATGTGACAAATAAAACATGGTCTATCTACTCATGTATCATTTTTTTCCTTTTTTTATAATTGAAAAGTAAAGCTATAGGCTACATATCACCTAGTTCATAACAAAAAAAACAAAAAAAAGTTATCATCAGATATTACAACAACCACCTCAAAGTCGTTGTAACACATATTTAAAATGCAGACTTTTGGAAATGAAATCATCTGTTGATTAAGTGAACTTGCTGTTTTCTGAAGAAAAATCACACGTTCACATTTTGGATCATCAAAAAACATGCACGCCCACAGGCAGTACCAGTTCTTTCAGTATTTAAGTATGTACCTTTATTGGAAATATAGTTTTCAACTCAGCTGTTTATACACGCACTATTTTTGTTATACAGGTACATACAAATACACAGTTATGTTCGTTCACACATGCATTTTTGTTGCAGAGAAACAAATGCACACTTGTGCATGTGTGCCGCCCATCACTTCCAACATCACTCAAAAAACACACAGAGAGTAAGGATTTAAAATGTTTAACTATTTGTATTAATTTTACAATTTATATTTTTTATATAAACTCAATACTTAATGCAATATTGTCTGTTAGACTCAAATGAACGCATTACATGTGAACTATGGTTCCTATCTGTGACGTAGTCGGAGGCATTTCGAGGCTGAGCCAAACGCACTTCCGGTTGTCATTCAACGAGCCAGCACTGTGCATCACCCCGGCTCTCTAACACAGTAAGTACAGGACGGGTTTTCCTTACAGTTGCTAAATTAAACAGTTACATAAAACCTTAATGAAGACTCGCTTAATGTGACACTTCACATACAAAATAACCCTGGAGACGGGTTCTGTAAATACAGCAGCAGCGCGTGTAGCGGTGCGCAGGCGACGGGATTGTAGTTAAGCTAACATTAGCTAATGTGCAGCTTATTCACTTCCGTAAATACTTTTTACAATAAATAGTTTAACTATGTAAATGTCTTCAAAAAGATAATTGCCGATCATTTCACTTGTTATTGCTTTACAAATGCTGTACATTAGCCCGTTTGCCTGTTCGTATAATGTGAGCTAGCTCCAGTGTGAACTGTACAGCAGGATGTGTAGGCTGTTAATGACTGTCGAATAAAGGTCAGCAAGTAGACATACATATGCCAAATCAGGAATAAAGAAATATTTCTAAATATTATTATAGATAAGTGTCGTACAAGTGTAGAAACAAATGAATTACAGACATTAAGAAACTTCTCTGGTTTAAGCTCATCAAATGCTAGCTGCTTCCCTGTGTTTTATGAATAATACATACATTAATATATTATTAAAATAAATATATTTTGGTTTTGGAAGATTCATAGTCAGTCAGTCAAAAGAAGACATTTGATATCTTGAAAACTTTTGTTGGGTACGTTTCAATATTTTGTGAAAATAAAAAATATGTGTTTGTGTGTGCCAAAGCCCTTAACAACAGACCTGCTGAGTCGACTGAGTGAACTCCTCTTCTTCTTTATTTCTTCAGGGAGCTGAATTCTGTGACCAGACAACATGACGCTGTTTCACTTCGGGAACTGCTTTGCCCTGGCCTATTTCCCTTACTTTATAACATACAAGTGCAGTGGCCTGTGAGTGCTTACTATTAATACACCGTTTTTGGCATTGGTTTTCTATGTTCCTGTGTTGTAGCAACATGCTCTGCGACTAAGAAGTCTGTTAATAATCTGCTTAGTATTGTGTAGGGTTTGGGAGGGGGTCAACATAATCTTCTTAGAACTGTGTAGTGTGCTCTTGGATTTGGCAGTACCTCTGCCTTACCACACATTTTTGTTTTTGTAACAATTATTGCTATCAAGTCTTAAAAAATAGCCTCCTATTTGTGATTTATCCATGTCTTTCTGCCCCCTTATTTTACAGACCGGACTGTCATTTAACTCTTTCTCTTTGTGTTTTCAATCTTTAGTTCAGAGTACAATGCCTTCTGGAGATGTGTCCAGGCTGGAGCAACGTACTTGTTTGTCCAACTTTGTAAAGTGAGTTGGCTTTCTGGGGATTAAATAATATTCCATTGTGAAATTGGGCAGGGGAGTTTGCAGGAAAAAGCTTGAGTTTCGGAGTGTGTAAACGGGTTAATATTTTTGTGTTGCAGATGCTGTTCCTAGCTACATTTTTCCCCACATGGGAAGGAGGAGCTGGAGTTTATGATTTCGTAGGGGTGAGTGTTCCTTCCTGTCAGATTCCTTTCAACTATTTTAATGAAAATACAAAGAAAACCAGTGTCTTAATATCTTGTGAAAGAGGTTATAATGATTGTATTTACTTGTTTAAAATGAAATGTGTTTTAGGTTGACTTTTCAAATCTGTCCAGGGACTATAGTAGAAAAATAGCCTCTTGGCTAACTCTGGCACATTTACAGCAATGTTAATTAATGTGCACTGTCCCTGTTAAATAAATAAATGTTTTTTTAGGAATTCATGAAGTCGACAGTGGACATGGCAGACCTGTTGGGTCTCCATCTGGTGATGTCCCGTAATGCTGGCAAAGGAGAGTACAAGATCATGGTGGCGGCCATGGGCTGGGCGACAGCGGAACTTGTGATGTCCAGGTAAGCTGCGATGCTGCGCCTGAAGAAGAAACATAAGCGTTCTTAAATTACTATTGATATAAAAATGATGAATCTTACCCATTGTGTTGTGTTATGAATCTTCAGGTGTCTTCCTCTGTGGGTGGGAGCCAGAGGGATTGAGTTTGACTGGAAGTACATCCAGATGAGCTTTGACTCCAACATTAGTTTGGTGAGTAGCCGTCCTATTCTTGCTTTTCACTACTCCACTCTGTCTGCTGCTGTGTTTTTTAAATTGTCATTTAATCTGTTGTCTTTTATGTCAGCCTTTTCCCCCTCTTCCTTCCATCTCACTATCCTCTATCATGTTTTTAGTTTTTGTTTCTCAATGCAATTTTTTGAATCTTTTTTTCAAACCCTCCTATCTTGTTAATTGCAAATGTCGCCACCAAGTCTGTTGCTATATTTGATTTACCGTACTACCGCGATATGTAAAAAAAATTTAAAAAACAGAAATATGAGGACCACTCTAATTCATGTTCAACTTTTTTCCTCTAAAATGTTAGAATTTCTGGATATCTCCAGAAAAAGACACGAGACAGGAGCTTACGATTTTGTTCGTGTTTAATTGCAAGAAAACCATTGAATACAATCTATTTAGTTTATTAGCATAAACGTCGTTCAAATAAAATGTTCAGTCGTTTTAATTATGTATCATAAACGGCTTAGTTAGTGTTTGGAGTTTAAACAGTGTCAGTGACTTTTTTAATTAATTCCTAAAATAAATGTTTACAGACTAGCTTTTATGTGCTTTAATCTTTTAATGCGTTTACTCCTTTTCTTTATACATTTTTTTATTGCTGTACTTTTTATTGTTTAACTTGTTTACTAATTTTATTTTTCATAATTTTTCTTCTTTCCACTATGCTTATGCTGTTGCTGTTACTTTTCTTCCTGGGTGTCTGTCCAACAAATGTAACATGTTTTTATTTGTATGTTTTTCTAGGTCCATTATATCGCCATGGCAGCAGTGGTGTGGATGTTCACACGGTACGACCTCCCTAAGAGCTTCAGGCTTCCTGTTACTGTGCTGCTGGCTCTGTGTGTCTACAAGGCCTTCCTCATGGAGTAAGTCTGATACACTTATACACAAACTTCAGACATACACACCACCTAATCTAGCTTTAGACAAGAACGCACATTTCCAAAAAGTATTTGTTTGAGGGAAAAGTCGGGTCTGTTTTTACCATCTATGTGGTGGCTGTGCTTTGTTTTTGCAACCACAGGAGGGCACTATATAACAGCAAGAATACTAATTCCAATTTAGAATTCAAGTGCAAGTCAGATAAACAAACTTGCAAGTCAAATGAACGACATAAAAGTTGCATCAATTGACAAACCTAAAATATCTTTGAAATCTCTTTCCCTGAAGTATAGAGAGTTGTGCAGTGCTGTGATCTCATTTTAAATGTGAGAAGAGATGGTACTGGACCCCGGGTCAGTTGGGTGGACGTTTTGTCTATTGCAGAGATTACACTTTAAATGTGTGCGCCGTGTTGGAGTCCAGAACAAACTGTCCTAGCACGTGATTTACAGATTGACTGTTTATAGAACATGTTGCTCATTAAAAAATCCTCCAAAATGTGTTAATGTTTTGCAAGTGGTAAAGAGACCAACGGGAGGACCAGCAGATCATTTTATTACATTTGGGTTTTCAGTATTAGTGGCTGAAGTAAACCATAGTTTGTACAAACAATACATGCCATTTAACTGTGCGTTTGTACTTGCACTTTATCTTACGGATGGTTGCAGTAATGCACTGTTGTCCTTTTGTTCCTTCCCATTTTAACTTACTTTGTGTTTCTCTCCCTCTTCAGGCTGTTTGTCAACATCTTCCTGCTGGGCAGTTGGACCGTGTTGTTGGTGAAAGCCGTGCTGACCGGGGCCATCTCTCTCTGCTCTCTGTTTCTCTTTGTCACTCTGGTCCACAGCAACTAAGTCAAACCCAGTACCCTGGGATAAGCCTCCAACGGCCTTTTGGGTCCAGACTGGACCCCAGTTGTCATAACCTAGAAGCTCCTGAGGCCTTTTGTTTTCAGTCGATGTATCACCATACAACATCAAAGACTACTGAAAAATGCTAGTTGATAATGGGTTGCTGAACTGGTCTTAGGTACAATTCTGGCTAAGCTACCCCACTGGAAAGCTAACCAGTTCTTCAAGATGTTTAGTCATCAGTCAGTAAAGACCTGTGATGGGAAACTGAAGCTTTGCTTGCTTTCAGTCCAACCAGTACACACTGCTGGTTGAGTGATGACATCAGAGAGCTTCTGTCACATGATTGGCTTTCCATTGCTGTGTTGATTTTGTTACACAGGGGAATTTTGTACCAGGAAGACCACAAATGAATTTATATAACATTTCTTTTTTATGTGTTGTCGAATGAGCCATCTTAGATTAAATAGTCAA